GCTTAATAGTTTCAGCCCTCGGGCTGCCATTCAGGGGAGATCACCACCCAGATCCACCCACAACTCCACCCAGATGACACCCAACCACCATCACCAATCACCATGACCCACACCCTCAGCCACACCCCCACTCAGTGTCATCATAGCCTCCTTCCTGCTTCCGAGTAGAAGAGTTACATCAGAGTAGGCAGTTGCACTTGAGTAGAAGAGTTACTTCTGAGGAGACAGTTGCACCCAAGTAGAAGAGTTACTCTGCAGAATAGTGAGGGAAGCCTTGCAGAGCCACATGCAGCTACAGGCTCCGCCAACATCAGAGAGTCAACATCAACATGGCAGCATTGGTGGCGTGTAAGCATGGCTGAACAGGTGTGGTGATCTCCCCTGAATGGCAGCCCGAGGGCTGAAACTATTAAGCAGCTGACTTGATTGCAGCTAGAAAATTATTAACCAGTTGCTAGAGTTTGTTATGGTGGGTATATTATGCCAGACCAGCTAACTCTTTTTGCATGGAGTCATCGGGAGATAATGCATCGACAAGTATATATTGATTTACATACAGTGAATTCAAAGAAATCCTTGTTGTCAAGGTGGATAAAATGTGATTTGGATATTTTGACTATTACACAGAACAAAAGCAGCCATTTCAAATGTGTATTCAGTAGGAATACTATGTCAAGTAGAGACTATGTTTTAGACACAGAAATAAATAACCTGGGTAACAGCTGCATAGAGGTATTGCTTAATTTAATTTTTAAATTTACTTTTGTCAAAAAGAAGTAGTCAACAGTACAGAAAAAGCAGCTTAAATATCCTTACTAGATGAAAAATGAATATAAATTTAACAGCTACTATGCTTAAGGGCATAACAGCAAGCCAAAATAATAGGGGAAAATTGAATAGATAAACGTAAAAACTCATTTTTTAGTAAAAAAAGTAAAGATTTTTCTGTCCAGCCCTCTCTTTACATATGACTACAGGATAGGATGTCAAACTTGATTTCATTGAGGACCACATTAAACTTGTGTTGGCCACAGGGGGCTGAGTGGGTGTTGCTGGTGTGGGCATGGTCAGCTTGATGTCCTGCAGCCCTCTGGCAGTGAAAATGGAGCCCACACCTGGTCCTCCCGGGCTCCATTTTTGCTGGCAGAGGCACTGCCGGCAGGATTCTTCGCTGTTTCGAGCGCAGCTCCGCGGGCCAGGTCTGGTCTGCAGGCCTTGAGTTTGACACCCCTGCTATAGGATAAACAGATGAAATGGAAAATGGCATCTTGGTTTGGGACCTGCATGAATAGAAAGGCATCTTATCAGGCAAAGAATGATAATATAGGAGCATCCTACATTGCATACTCTTCACTGAACAGGAAGTTTAGTTAATTTTCCAAAGACCTTTTAAGTCTCTGAATCCATGAGGTTATCTTGATGTTTCATTATTTTTAATTCTCTTTCTCAGGTCCAACTGATCTCAGTATGAAGAGGCAGCTAGCAAGCACTTCCGGGTCTTCTAGCAATACCAGCTCTAGACCTCAGCTGAGTCCAACTGAAATTAATGCAGTACGGCAACTGGTTGCAGGATATAGAGAATCAGCAGCATTTTTATTACGTTCTGCAGATGAACTGGAAAACCTTATTTTGCAGCAGAACTGAGACACACATTATTATCTTGCTGATCTAGTTTTATCATAGAATTTCCACTGATAACATTTTGATATTTCAGAGCAGATCTTTTCATGTGCTGCAGTCTTGTTGACAAATTAATTTCCATTATGCCACACTGTTCTCAGTGTACTCGGTGTGTTATGATTCTCCAAGCGAACTTGGATCTCTGACATTTTTAAGATCCTTTGTAATACCAATTTGGTTTGTTTTCATGTGTCAGCATCAATAGCAAAAAAAGTAAGTAGAAGTGTTAACCCATTCTAACATGGACAGAAACAACAGATATACACTGAGGTTTCAAATTTGATTCAGAATCCAAGTGCAATATTAATGGAATGTGCTCCTGATTCAGTGGACTCAAAGCTGCATTATATGGCAAAATGTTGCCAAAAGCCCTGATATTAACAGGATGTTATTGCAATGAAAAGGATCTTGTATTTTAAATAAAATGTAATTTTTATAGGAAAAAAAACAAGAAAAAAAGGCCGGTTCACATTCTAAATTGATCATTTTTACTTTGGTAAATTTTTCACTGATTTTTCAAATGAAGTTTTGAGGAGCCGTTGTTAAATCCTCCTCAATGAAATTTTAATCCCCTCTCCAATTCACCTCTGTCCTCAAGGCATATTTTTCATGCAGAGCGGGTCATTCCCTTGTAGTTTCCTATCAAACATTTGTAGACTTAATTCTGCAGGAAGCAGATTTCATAGCATTTTTGCTTCTGTTTCATAATGAGTTGCAACTTATTAGTAGTTGATGAAGATGTGAGAGATATTTTCAAAAGACATATCATTAATTTTGTTTTTAAAGGGATTTCCTACAAGCCAGCTCATTTAACTCCAGGATTGCTGCTGCTGTCTTGTACAAATCCTTCTGGTAGTGAATGAATGTAGATGACTGAATGTGAAGAGGTTGCAAGTGACAATCGGAAAATTTGCACTCTTGTGTATATTTCTTTTCTTTCTTTCTAAATGAATATGTAACTGAAAAGGGCCATTGACACTTCTGATGTGATTTTATAGTGCTTATGCTAAACGAAAAGTTGTACAAAAAATGGTAAATGATAAAACTGCCATTTAAATAAAATTTACTTCCCTTGAATTTCTCCCTCCCCTCCCCCCTCCCCATTTCTTATTTAGGATGTCAAATACACATCAGTGGTGTTTGCTGTGTGCTAAGGAAAGCTTATTTTTATGTATTTAGAGAGAAGTATTTTACTTCGGGCTTATGTAATATCTGTTTTGTTGATTAGCTTTTGTTAAATAACAAGTTCCTTGTGCATTCCTAAATTTGCCTTATTTTTGTGTACAATTTTTTATGTACTTTGGTTTTTTAACAATGAGTTTAAGGCATCCGGTGATATTTTCTATCTACTTGTTACATATAGTTTTTCAAGTAATGACTGTGGTTGTGACAAAGTAATGTGCACTTTTTTCTTGTAACTGGACATTGCTATGCTTTTTCCCTTTAGTGTTTCTAGAATTACTGTTGCATACAGTTATGTTTTTAAAAGACAACTTTTGTGATACTGTTGGTGAATATCAGTGTGAAAAAGTCTATTGAAATGAGTGTTTTGGAGATACCTAAGTACACAAGCTGTTAAGTTGTAGACTCAATTGTTCACAAATTTAAATGAAATTTTAAAAAAATGAGGGCTGGGGGAAAAATCTTCAATTTTGTTTGGGTGAATAAACATATGTGCTTCAATGCATGCTTGTGAAACAGTGTTTGACATAAACTTTTGTCTTTTCTCTCAGGGCAATTTAAATCCAAATTATAAAAAAATAAAATATTCATCTGAAGATAATGATGGTTTAGATAATCAAATAGAAGCATGCTTTGCATACATTTTGCTGATGTCATTGCCTAGATTTCACTGAAATTGTTGCTGTTTAATTTGCCTATGGAGCCTTTTTAAACTTAGTATATATCACAAGTAAGTGGTGAAGATTTGTAGAATTCCTAGGAAACGTTCTAATCACTGCAGTGCTGTAGCACAAACTTGGGCTAGTGCTGGGATTAAAACCTTGACAACTTCCCTAGCAATCCAAACTTGGTAAGATAATCATCATTATTTAAAAAGAAACAAAGAAAAAAATACTTAGCGAATGAACTGAATGTGTGCCCAAATAAATGCTCTCAGGAAAGGGAAGCAAAATCACGATGTGTTATTGATAGTTTAAATGATGACATTGCATTAGAAATTATGGATACTACCCAATCCTCTGGATATATCAAAAGACACATGTAGAAGATTGGCTAAGATATATACATATTTTCTCCATTGTCTTAACATCCACTGCATGTGGCTGTGTTGTATTGCACTAAAATAATGATGACCATTCATGATAAACCAGTTTGTTTAGACTTTATCTACATGCATCCAGCCACATTCTGGCCATGCTTAGATCTCTGGCACAAGAGAAGTGATACCAAATGCAATGGTTTGCAGAGAAGTAGACCCACAAATATATTATCAATGCATGGGATAGTCCCATTACAGTAAGATGCTCAAAAAGGTGGACAGCCAAACAAATACAAGATACATACCTGAACAATTTGGAGAAGCTGTACAATAAAGTCTCGGAAGAGTACAAGTTTTTTTCCTGACATCCAGTTCTACATGAAGAAAGGGTTAAAGTTTAGTAATTATCATGAGTATGTTTCAGTGGAACTGCATCTTTTGAACCATTGGAGGCGGGGTCAAAGAAGTTGGTCTGATAAAAGTGGCATTGTGACAAGTCCCATTCATTTGAAGTCTGCATCATGACGTTTAATCCCTATATATGTTCCAGTTGGATAGAGCTTGTGGCACAATAGCAGAATACTGCTTTCACAGTTTTGACAAAAAGGAGGAACTTGAGGATGGCCATGTTTACCACTTATGTTGCTTCTTTTTGGAGGCAGGGGTGGGTTTTTCCTGACCAAAAACCCTCCCAAACCATTATATTAAAATCACATCCCAAATAGAAAAAAATGACAATGAAGGTAATAAAAAGTTATAAAAAGTACTGCTCCCAGAAGTTCAACCATGATTAATATATCCAAAATATTTGCCTTTCTTTTGTTTAATATGTCTGTCACACTGCACCTGCAGTAGTCAAGTTACTTTCTTGATCCCAGCTACATGAACAAGGATAGGAAACCAAGTGGAACTTTCTTCAATGTGTGAACAAAATTTGCCACCTGTTGCCAAGGGGTGGCAAATTTGCTTCACATATTCGAGAACTGGTGGCCTGACATGGACAAGTAGCAAATAGATGAACTCTTGTTAATCATTGTTTAGTGAGATACTAATAATGCTATACAAATAGCAGCGAGGGTCACATAATTCCTTAATTTTCTCTATGGAAAGCTCTTTGGCCTTCCTTGTTGTTAGGTAAAAGTGTTATCCATCCAACTATAAGTTGGCAGTAAATCATAGTGGGAAGAAATTTGCTGCTCCCATGGTTTACATTCTTCCTCCATCATATCTGTTTTGAGTCAATACCAAACAGTGATATTCTGATGTACATGCAGCAAGGAAAGCAATTAATTGATTCCTCCAGCTTTATTGCCCTCCTCCTTCAATATGTCAAGCTGTTGACATGTATGCAACCATTCCCCAGTCACATCCTTATCTCTTAGCTGCTGCTTTCTCTAACTCAGTGGTTCCCAACCTTTTTTTGGCCATGCCCCACCTAAGCATCTCTAAAATTCTGATACCCCCCCCCACCTGTGACATATAATTCTTACTAATCAAAAAGTGAACTATCACGCAGAGGAAGCCTAAAAGGCTATTAACTTGGTTTAAACAAGCACTACTGCACTACTCATTTTATGCATAGAGTTTGTGACTAAAAGAGATGAATGTGAGAAAAACATATGAAATGATGCAAATTATTAAAAGAAATAACTATTAAAAAGGTGGTGCAAAAAACAGGAAATTTAACAAACATTCTTAGGTTAATTTATGAATAATAAGATTGTCATGAACGAAAGGGGGGTTGTAACCTATGTCCCCCCTACTCACCCACTCGGTTTTAACTTGCAGCTTAGTAAGGAAATGCTTTGGTTGTTTAGTAGGTAGAGGTGAATCACACAGGTCTGGCAAGGCCTACACATGCGTGGCCCAGCCCCAGATTGCTTTGAGAGGAAAAGTCTTGTATAAAACAGCCTGGGAAAACACAGACGAAAATAACTGTAAATCTAACAATTTCTTACTTAAATTTGGGTCCTGGTTCTCTATCCTCATTGATGGGCTTCCCTTAGGAGCCATCCACTCTGTCTCCCCACAGAGCAGCTCTCCCTGCAACCACCCAGCAGCAAAGCCCACAGGAAAGAGAGAGAGAGAGACTCTGCCAGTCCCATGATTCTTAGTGGGAACACATCTGATTGGCCGGCAGTTTCTCCCTCCTCCCTTCAACTGGGATATTGGGAACCACTATTCTAACCCTTCTTTGGACTGTTGGTTGTAATCCAGGTTGAATAAAATTGAGAGAGGGAGGGAGGGAGGGAGAATATTGCAGAGTAAAGTCACAAACACGATGCTTATCTAGGAATTCTCTTTATATAAATAACAAGTGTTGTTTTACAGATTCATCTTTGTTCTGTTCAGGAGGCAATGAGGAGAAGAAATGGGGAAGTGGACCTTTTCTGTCCTGATATATTGTTTCAATCCCTTTTGCATGCACTCATTCCTCTGTTCTGCTATTTCTAGCTTTCAGCAGTACTTCCCAGGCACTGCTGTGTCCAGCTGCTTAAGAAATAACAGCAACAAGGTAGTAGATGCTGATAGGAACTGACAGGAGGGGCCTTGCCCAAATCAGCCTGAACTGCCCAATCAGATTTTCTGAATGAATGTTTAACGAACTGGGAAATATTTTACATAATTTGCCGCTCTTATTCAATGCTCCCTGATTAAGAGGGAAAACACTAATGATGATGCAGCCATGATTTAAGCCTAAGCTTGTCTTGAGGAGATGATATGAAGCCAGTAAGTCTCTCTCTAAGCTTTGAAAATGTTTCTGGCATTCTCACCCAGTAGTTTATTGAACTCCTGTGGCTTCTTCTACCCTCTTATTCAACTGCAGTCGGTATTGTAATATATTTATCAATTGACAGGGCCTTTCAAAGAACCTTTGAGCTTGACTGTAGTGCTATTCAGCGATGTCTACTGTATTACAGTATAATAGTGAAGACTAGTTTTATACAAAGGCATTACTGTAAACTACAAACTTTATAAGTGCAAAATAAGCAAAGATTGCTACAATAAAACCTCTGCTCCACATATGGTTACCTTCTGTGAAGGAGGTAATATGCAATAGTTTCCATGTGAGAAAAGCTATAGGTGACTTAACAGCAGCTGGTATTTATCTCAGAGTCAACATTTCTATAAATGTCTTCCTACCAGGAAATACGTGAGATGTAGGTCAGCCTGCAGATGGATATAGCCAATCCCACAGAGTGAACTTTTATTAGTGTGCTGCCTATTTAAATCAATATTCTAGAAAGCATATAACAACAGAAGGCTTATTACCATCATTTAAGCATCCAATTTTACTTTCACATTCTAAGTGCAATTTTCATGCATCCAGATATGAAATTACGTTCTATGGCAGAGATAGAAAGTCCATCTGGAAGTTAAATAAATCTTCAGTGTTGCTAGCAACTGCTAATTAGTCATTGTTTGCAATGCGTTTAGACATGCAATGGGATCTTTAATAGATGAATAGCAATTGTAATATAAATGACAATCTTAACAGAAAAATTAGCTCATTAATGAGCTGAATAGTATTGCTGGCACTAGTAAAATGTAATATAGATGTAACAGCAGTTTATTTAGTCTTGCTCGTATGTTTCTGTAAACTCACACAAGCAAAGCTGAGTTCTGGCTATATTTTTTTCAGATAAATCTTATCATAGGTTATTGAATCTTTTATTTCTTTTGTGGATATTCCTTTTTTAAATAAATTACCCACACAGGAAAACAGTGCCATATTTCCCTCTATAACAATACACAAACTTAAAACATTGTTTCCTTCTTACTCAGTTTGTAATATTGTGTGTGTGTGTGTGTGTGTGTACATACATAAATACACATATATGTGTATGTGTATGTATATGTATATGAATATGTATAAATTACCCCACAGGAAAACAGTGCCATATTTCCCTCTATAACAATACACAAACTTAAAACACTGTTTCCTTCTTACTCAGTTTGTAATTGCATGAATGTATGTTTGTATACATACATACACAAACATATATATGTGTGTATGTGTATGTGTATGTGTATGTGTATGTGTATGTGTATGTATATGTATATGTATATGTATATGTATATGTATATGTATATGTATATNCATGCGGATCTGCCTGCGTAATATCCTCTCTAAATTAATCAAGCATTAAGTGTAAATTCAAATATAAGGGAAATTATGCCTATGGATCTTCAAGGGCAGCCCCATATAGAGCACATTACAATAGTCCAGCTGCAAGGTGACCAAAGGGTTGTCTCACACTTCCCATATATGAGAATGGCATGCTAGTCCGGGGATGGGCATAACTGGCACACAACTTGTAGTTATGCAAAACTTCCTGGGCACAATTTCCAGGAGCTAGAATTGTGAGTCTACAATACTCAGATTACACCATTGTACTAAGTGGTGCTTAGTTATGTTTGACTTG